TGCGGAGCAAATCCATCTGGCGGAGTCAGGTTACATTTAAAGTACCACTCAGCAGAAAAATACGCATCAGAACTGGATCATCCACCAATTTACAGAAAAACAAGCAAACAAACAAACTTAAAACACAGTTTTTCTGTTTGATATCTGAGTTTCATCCAGTTTATAAACGCATATTAGGAAGTATGGGTTAAATTCATCGCTACGCTGATGACTGCGCTCTCACCATCTTGGAAACTCCAAAGTTATCATATTCATTTATGAGGCAAAACACAACCTGGAGCAGAACGACTGATCAGAACGGATCAGAACCGAGCCAACTGATGGGAGGAAGGAAACATCTAAAGAAAGAACAGCTGAAGTTACTGAAACAAGAACCTATTTCAGTAATTTAATTACAAAACCATCAAACCCTTTTTTTTTTTTTTTTTTTTTTTTTTTAGTTCCAACCAACAATTAATGTACAGAATAAAGGTAAAAACAACAAGTCTGACCCAGAGAAGCTAAAAGAGGAAACAACCAAGAACTTCATTACAGAAGTTTCCTTTATGCTGATTAGAGAAGAAAATTCACATTATTTTCCTCTAAACGGTTGGAAAACCTCAAGATAAATCTGACGATCTATAAAACACAACATAATAAATTACTCTTTGAAATATTTTGGGTTTTTAAAATAGAAATAAACGTAATCAACAAGAAAGTGGCCTAAAAAGGGGTTAAATCTTTCTGTTTTGGCAGACGTCTAAATGTCAGCAGCTCAGTGTGACTTAAATCAAACTAATTTCACATTGTTTGACAAAACAAACCCTGTAAGATTAACAAGAGGACAAAGCAAACCTTTATCCTCATATTGAGCTTATTCACTCACAGCCTGGTAAACAGTTACAGCAGCTCGTCCAATCGGGAAACAGCTCGTTTCACTGCTTCATAATTTTAGATTCGGCTCATTTCCTTTTATAAAATGGTTGTTTGATGAAAAGCTTTAGGGTTGATTCTGGTGGATGCTTTTTGTAGATTTTTTTGAATAATTGTTCAAACTCTCACATGTAACCATGAGATTTGATTAAAAAAAGGAAAATAAGATGCTGGATACAAAAGGCTGGGATGAGCTTCCTCACTCAGGTGATGGCGGCTGCTCCGATCCGAAGGGAGGGGTTCAATATCTGACCAGGAGACCATCAGGCAGCAGATTCAATTCAATTCAATTCAGTTTATTTCTATAGTGCCAATTCACATCATGTCATCTCAAGGCACTTTCCAGTTCACCAGATCTTCCAATCAGATTGATTCAAAGTTTTCTATCTAAGGAAAACCAGTTGATTGCATCGACTCATTGACTAGAAGGCAATCCCTCACACTAAGCTTGCTTGTAGCGACAGTGGAGAGGAAAAACTCCCTTTTAACAGGAAGAAACCTCCAGCAGAACCAGGCTCAGTGTGAGCGGCCATCTGCTGAGGCCGACTGGGGTTCAAGGAGACAGAAGCAGACATAGAAAAAGAAACTGGAAAAGGCGTCCCAGTCCAGGAAACACACAGATCCAGAGGTAGGGGAAGGTAACTGTTCCGGCTTATCTCTGCCAGATCGGATTACCAGTTTTCTTTGAGGTCTGAGTAGCAGATTCAAGGGAAAATCCTCTGATCCGATCCCTGGTGTAGGGGTGTAAATAATTATCGTTTTGTATCGATGCATCGATCCAACAGCCGACGATCCGATGTATCGATACGTCCGCAAGAGAATCGATTCATGTTTTTTTTTTTTCCTCCGGTCTATTTTTATCCATTTGCTCCTGGACGTAATTCTCCCTCCCGTGCTGCGGTGGCGCTAAACCCATTTTACCCTCCAAACCTCGCTTCCTGGTTATACTCTTACAGCAGTGTTGCAGTGAACTTGACACAGACATTTTTAAATTATACTCAATATTGAAGCGTGGTCTGTGCTACACGCTGTGGGTCTAGATACGGCCGAGGCGGCGAGGAAGTGGGGGCGAGTTTAGTCCGACGACGGAGGGACATGAGGGCCAAAAAGAGCGGAGATCCAGGTGGAAAAAGGGTCCCAGCGTTCTCGCGCACCTCGCTCTTCTAGCGGGTCAAACTTCACGAGTTGTTTTCCGCAATTTGGGTCATAAAAACAAAACAAGCCGGCCTCCTGTCTGCGGCGCTGTTTGCGGTCAGCTACAATCTGGGAGAGGAGCAGCTGAGCGTCTGTGGAGGGGGCGGGACGTCTGGAGCCGAGGTATTGAATTGCACTCATTGCACTGATTCTCTGCAGTATTTTTTCATGCAACTTTTCTACTTCTGTTATTTGCTGTTGTTTTTAAAAAAAAAAAAAAAAAGCATAACGATATTACAGCTTTCATTGATTTATTTCAAACTTGAAACTTTGTTTAGCCTGTAAGGTCTAAAAAAAATTTTTTTTTTTTAATTAATCGATTAATGGAATCGAATCGTGGTGTATTCTTGAGTATCGAAAATAATCGAATCGTTGGGTCAGGAAATCGACACTGAATCAAATCGCCATGATGGATGTGATTTACACCCCTACCCTGGTGCATTTCCCGTCTTTTGGATACCTCAGAATGAGCAGCAGATAGTAAGGAGGGAAGTCTGTGCTTCTCTTCTGGAAGTACCTGTGAACTGATCCTGGATCAGTTGCGGGGAAGGGATTAATGTTTAGGAATATTATGATTCATTAAAAAAATCCAGAAATGTCACCTTGGGTTTATGAGAATCCCTCAGTTTTCCTGACCTCCTGCAAACTAAACAGCAGGTGGATCAGCAGCCAGTGGCGGCCGGCCCATAGGGGGCGCTGGGGCACCGCCCTCCCTGATAAGAAGAGAGAAACGTAAAATATATTTTTAGAAATTAAATCATAAATGTCAGTTTTACTCTCTAGACTGTGTACCTATAAGCAAAACAAATTATATAAACTACATTTCCCTATCTACTGTCATTAATTTGTGGATTTCCACAGACAGACTCCTACCGTCTCTGTTCTGGGGGCTGTGATCAGACTGACCCACATTTGCAGAGAATCTGTCAATCATGTACTATTGCTAGGTGAATTCAATGGCCAATCAGCGTCTCGGAACTTTATGGTCTTGGGGCGCTGAAAATACTGCGCTTTTACAGGCTTCTGAACCCAAGCCAGGTGCAGACAATGAGAGGGACGATGGCGAACGTAACGAACGAGATGCAGCTTCCAGCAAATTCGGTGAGATCCTTATTTATCTACCCGTTTGCCAGAAGAACATCCCTGTTGTAGGATATGAACTTTTCATGTCATGGTTATTGTGACTGTGACGAATCCACCTCGTCGCTTAAAACAACCTCTCTAACTTTGCGCGCCACACACACGTTCCTGTTATACTGTGTTTGTGAGGACCAATACACTCGCGCTGAGCCCAGTAGCTCCATTAACTTAAAACACACAAGCTCTTCCTGGTTACCTGCTGGCATATTGAGGGTGCACACTTAATATTTCAGTGGGGTTAGCCGTGTGTGTGTGTGGTATGTGGGGGGTGTGGGTGTGTGTGTGTGGTGGGTGTGGGTGTGTACGTGTTTATGCTATGGGGACTTGTCATCTTCAGTCTGGCTGCATCTTTGCTGGGTTCAAATCCAGTTTGGTGTAATTGAATAAGTCAACGAATCTGTGTAAAAGAATTAAGTTGTAAAAATTATTTGTTTTTGTAAATTAATTGTTTGCGGAGGTAATATATGGACAAAACTGATTAATGAGAAGAAATCAGAAATAAGAGAGCCTGAGGTGAGGGGCTTAAACTATTTAATGAGGGCTGTGGGAAGAAAAGCAGCAATTTTTGTTGTCTGTTTCTTTGTTACATTGCTGGTAACTGGAGGGAGGCTGAGGCCCAGAGTATCTGGTATATGTTTAGTTTCTTTTGCACCCTGTTTTGATTTTTTGAGCTCAATAAATCAGCAACACCGGTAACCCGACTGAGCCTGGATTCTTGGAGGCCAAAGAACCCCGTCACAGTGACCCAAATCATCACTGTTATTATATAGTAAATTAAATCATTATTGTTAAATTGTATGTATTGTCCAATTGTTTAATCGAATTCTTATTCCGGATTAGTTGGAGACATACACTAGGCTATATCAGCCCCACCAAAAATATTTTTCACCAGCCGCCACTGTCAGCAGCTCATCCTCTGCAGCTGGAGAGTTTTAATGCAACTATCACACAGCAGCACAGGTTTTATCCAACATGATGTTTGCAGCCAGAACCTACAGCGATTTATGTTGAGTCTGATTGTAAATAGGCTCTCTGGCTCATTTCAGAGAGCTGAAGGTCCAACATAAGACTGGAGGGAGAAGACCATCTGCTCCAGAGCAGCAGGAGGGGAGGATTTTTCCTCTTCCCTCCGGCTGGTCCCAGCAGAGGTTTTACCAGACAGACTGTATTGATGCCTGTGATCCTCAGAGATGGATGAAGGTGGAGGCCATGATGGAGGCTCTAATTGGCTGCAGATCAATGGGGGACAATCACCTCTGCTTCACACACATCCCGTTCATCCTGGGATCTGTGTGCATGAATGGACATCAGACACGGAGCCAGAAACGCATCGGTGCACGCACGAGCCGCACGCACGAGCGGTCTGGGAGCAGGAAGAGGCTCTTTGTCCGAGAAAGGATCTCACCAACTAATGACATTTATCCGTTTGTGAGCGGAGCTGTTCGCTGAACGCTGCAGCTGAGACTCCAGGGGAAAAAAAAAGAAAAGAAAAGCTCTCCTGCTTCTCACGACCCAGAAAGCCTCCCTGGCTGATTCAACATTCAGCGCACAGATCATGCGCCGCTGCTGCCTGGAAATGGGACCGATTTATGCGTAAACATGCGATCTGAGATGAAGACAGAGGAGGTGATCAACACGTTGATGCTCCGTAGGCTTCATTCTAATCATCTCTACCGTCACGGTTTGATGTGATGTGGTAAATCTTTTTTTTTTCTCCCACGGGTATGACATGATTTGGGTTCTGAGAACCTTAC